ATTTTAAATTATTTTGAATACACAGTATTGCCTACAAAAATTATACTTTTTTTACTTTCTATTTTAGCATTCTCTATGCACTCAATATTAATGAATAATTTCCCTTATTTTTCGTTGCTAAGCTGGAATATTCATAATCTCATATTGACTCATTTTTAATTTCACTCGTACAAGACAGTTGCCACTTCCCAAGAAAGCCAAGATAATTTTTGTCCATATGATTTTATTTCCTGTTGTATGAAAATTAAATGCTGGAATTTAAAAAAAGGAAAATAAACAATTGCTATTCAATCAGTAATCCAATCTTTTATCTATAAATACCATCTTCCGGAAATAAAAATAACGTGTACAGCACATTCACCCTCCAAAAATCATCCCTAAACATGACTAGAGGAAAAATAAAGCTCGAGTACATAGCCAACGACACAGAGAGAAGGGCATCATTTAAAAAGAGAAAGAAGGGGATAATGAACAAGATGAACGAACTTTGCACCCTGTGTGATATACAGGGTTGCATTATAATATATAGTGCCTATGAACCTCAACCAACTGTTTGGCCATCTCCACTTGATGCTCAGCAAGTTATTTCCAGATTTCGGGAACTTCCGGAAATGGTTCAGACCCAGCTACTGTTCAATCAGGAATCCTATACGATTTAAAGGGTTCAGAAGTCTCATAAACAAGCCGAAAAGCTTCAAAGGATTAACAGATTAACGGACGTCGAGATTCTGATGCACCAGTGCATGGCTGGTTTGTCGAGTCTGCAAAATGTCCCTCTAAATGACATAACCGAAATGGGAGGTTTAGCGGAGCAAAATATTCAGGACATCATGGCCTGAATGGAGGAACTGGAAAAGAACTGGGCTACAACATTACAAATGGGTGGGACTAGCTCCAGTCCTCCTAGGGATGATGCCGCCAGACCTAGCTTTAGGAATTAAGTCTCTGTCATAAATCATAACCTTTTACTTTCATCTGTGATTGTTTTTGGATTAATTACAGTGCTTTGTTTTTATTCTTACTGTGATTATGTTTTGGCCATCGTCTCTGTTATTACAAAAAATTAAATTCATGAAATTCTTGAATGATGCTAAGTTCTAAATTTAGAACACCTCAGTACAAATTAATTACAAGTTCGATTATTGTTGCATAACCTACAAATAGTTCTTCTTAGTAACCTTCAATGACCATAAAAGCTTGAGATGCATATCGACCTGATTCTCTAAGGTGTTCCAGCATGTCAATAGAGCATCAACAAATTTAAAATTATTTATACAATTCTGGTGTAATAATATTTGTAGAGGGTGATCACTAAAATGTTACCATGGTTTTTCATGAACTTTTACTTTTATTTTCACAATGTCTCATGAATTTATACAACTCATAGTTACTGTCAAAGTTTTGAGCACAACATAAATGATGTACGAATCATTAAACTATTGTCGCTTGATGTTGATCACATCTACAACAGTTAAACCAGTTAGTTAAAATAATATTGCTCAGTTTTTGAAGCATGTTCCGGTTAGCTAAAATAAAATTTCTCAGTTTTTCGAAGCATGTTCATCAAATGCACATCTAATGCACAGGTGAATGTATGATGAAAACTAGATATTTTAGATTTTTTAAGCATGCAGGTAATGAAATTATTTATTATTTTCATTTCATTACATTACATTGCAATTGTTTGAATGTATACTTAATATTGATGTCAGTGCATTTAGTACCAAGGACACCTTTTCTTGTGTTACTCTTCAAATTTTCTTGTGTAAATACTTCCCCAATTTTTGAATCATTTTGGATTAACGTATTTCCTACAAATGTTATACTTCTTTGCTGTCTTATTTGGCTATCTCTATGCACTTAATATTATTGGATTATTTTCCTTTTTTTTTCCTTAGCTTAATTGGAATATTGATAACCCCAGAAATAATATTTCTCAGGTTTTCGAAGCATGTTCATCAAATGCACATCTAATGCACGGGTGAACGTATGTTGAAAACTAGGAATTTAGATTTTTTAAGCATGCAGGTGATGAAAATAATTTTAATTTCATTACATTACATTGCAACTGTTTGAATGTATACTTAATATTGATGTCAGTGCATTTAGTACCAAGGACACCTTTTCTTGTGTTACTCTTCAAATTTTCTTGTGTAAATACTTCCCCAATTTTTGAATCATTTTGGATTAATGTATTTCCTACAAATGTTATACTTCTTTGCTGTCTTATTTGGCTATCTCTATGCACTTAATATTAGTGGATTATTTTCCTTTTTTTTTTCCTTAGCTTAATTGGAATATTGATAACCCCAGAAATAATATTTCTCAGGTTTTCGAAGCATGTTCATCAAATGCACATCTAATGCACAGGTGAACATATGTTGAAAACTAGGAATTTAGATTTTTTAAGCATGCAGGTGATGAAAATAATTTTAATTTCATGACATTACATTGCAACTGTTTGAATGTATACTTAATATTGATGTCAGTGCATTTAGTACCAAGGACACCTTTTCTTGTGTTAGTAATCTTCAAATTTTCTTGTGTAAATACTTCCCCAATTTTTGAATCATTTTGGATTACTGTATTTCCTACAAATGTTATACTTCTTTGCTGTCTTATTTGGCTATCTCTATGCACTTAATATTAGTGGATTATTTCCTTTTTTCTTAGCTTAATTGGAATATTGATAACCCCAGATTGACGAAATTTTTATTTCACTTGTACAAGACAGTTGCCAGTTTCCAAAAAAGCCAAGAAATGTTATCCACGTGATTTTATTTCTTATTGTACTAAAACTAAATGCTGGAATTTAAAGATGGAAAATAGACAATTGCTATTCAATCAATAATGCGAATTTTTTTTTTTTTTTTATCTATATATACCACCTTCTGGCAATAAAAATAATGGACAGCACCATTCACCACGAAAAAATCGTCCCTAAACATGACTAGAGGATTCATTTAAAAAGAGAGAGAAGGGAATAGTGAAAAAGGTGAACGAACTTGCACCCTACGTGATATACAAGCTTGCATTATAATTTATAGTGCCTATGAACCTCAGCTAACAGTTTGGCCATCTGCATTTGATGCTCAGCATATTATTTCCAAATTTCAGGAACTTACGGGAATGGAATAGACCCAGAGATTGTTCAACCAGGAATCCTATATGATTCTAAGGATTCTAAAGTCATAAACAAGCTGTAAAGCTTCAGATGATTAACAGATTAATGGACATAGAAATTCTGATGCATCAGTGCATGGCTGGTAGAAATTCTGATGCACCAGTGCATGGCTGGTTTGTTGATTCTGTAAAATGTCCCTCCAAATAATATAACTGAAATGCAACATTTGGCGGAGCAAAAAATGCATGGCTTTTGGGTTAGACAAGATTCATTTTCTTTTTCTGATACGAACACTTATGGGAACCAACTTTGATGCTTTTTTTACCTAATTTGCCACTATATACACAACACGGTCTAACAAGCATAAGATCTCTCTCTCACCTCTCTATCATTTCAATAATAAAATCTTTGAAGAATGAGTGGTCAATTCATCATATGTTGGAGAAGAAAAACCAAATCTAGCAGTGATTGAATCTAGAAATATCAAGAACTAGAAAAATCAAATATTGAATTGAAGATCATGAACTAGAAATAGATATAATTTAGATATAAACATAAATCTCTTTTATTAAATTTACATTTGAATTTGATATCGAATTAATACAATTCAATATAAGATTTTTTCCTCATGGGACAATACTAATTATATTATTACTTATCAATGATCTCATATGCTTGTGAGTTTCGCATGAACACCACATCCAATGCTGAACCACCACCATTGCAAATGACTTCCATCTAAATGCACTATAAACACCGCTCCTACATTTGTATCGGAAGATTCACACCATCGCTACCCTCTACCACTATGACCCATCGCCCTGCAAGATATGGATCTGGTATTTGGGATTTTAATGATAGTTCATTTGTGGAACTGAGGTTTCGAGTCGGCAGAGGATTCTCATTCTACGTAGGAAAGTAGTATCATAGTCGCGGTTGTAGAAGAAAGACCCTGGGGAGGAAATGCAAGGGAAGAGGAAGAACACCGTCGGATTTACTTCTCTTTGAAATATGGTTCTTCAAAGATGGCAGCTTATAGATCACGTTGGGTATGTGTGGTGTAAGGTAGATTTAAGTAATATAAAAATTTGAAGTAAAGAGCTTGTTAAAAAAGAGAGAGTCTGAAATAGCAATCAAAATCAGAAATTACTCTAAGAGGAATTAAATCAAATAAATGTAAGGCCCAAAGTTTTAGGAAGTTTTTTGCACTATGTTTTCTTCAGCTGAGAACATCTCAAATACACACAGGAAAACAACTACTTTCAATGTTTAAGGAAACAGAAAACCAAAACTAAAAGATAGTCCTAAAGCGAAGCACAAAATAAGGCACTAAGTAACAACCATTGACTCTCTCAAACATGAAATGAAAAACGTGATTAATTATGACTTATACTAATTTATTTTTGCATTACACTAACAGAGCTGGTGGTGGCAAACAATGATGGTGTGCTGCTCGATTTTTTGGTGGAGATTGATTTTTAAAAAGGCTATGGTTGTATGAAGGCTGTGGTTGCATCTATTCATGGTAATTGAATTAAGAAACATCATATATTAAACCCCCGTTTGAGCTCTTATTTTTTCAAAATTCATTTTCAACTATACAATCTCTTATAAAATAATGTTACATGTAAACTCAAAAAAAATTCATATTTTTTAATCACATATTTTTCAAAAAACCATTTGTTAAAACTAAGAGAATAGAGGAAGAATTGTGAATAACTTCTGTATTCTGTGATAAATAAAACTATACAAGAGCCCTCCTTTTATAGGTGAAGGAGGCAAGCACATAAGGTAAGTAATTAATGCTAATTACACAAATCATGGAGATTGGTCAGTCAATATAATTAGGGAGATATGCTAACATCCATCCTCAAACTCAAGGTGGTATTGAAGATGCCAACTGGAGTTTGCAAACTAAAGAATGATGGCCACCAGGTAGATGAGCCTTTGTGAAGATATCAACCAGATGATAACTGACAAGAGGCGAAGTGTCCCTTCCTGAAGATGATGACACACAAAATGACAGTCTATCTCAATGTGTTTTGTGCGTTCGTGAAAGACATCATTATGAGCGATCTGGATAGCACTACAAATGTCAAAATAAAGCAGAGTGCTAAAGGGCTGAGGAATACCCACATCTTGGAGAAGCCAAAGAAGTTCTAAAGTAGTGTTAGCAAGGGCTTGATACTCAGCCTCAGTGCCAGAGCGAGCAACAATGTTTTGCTTTTTGCTCCACCAAGAGATAAGGGAGTCACCAAGTAGAAAAAGAAAACCAGTGGTAGATTGGTGATCAGTGGGGTCCCTTGCCCAATCAGTATCAAAGTAAACCTTCAACGTCAAGGATGACTGAGCGAAAAACTGAAGCCCATGAAATAATGTTCCCTTCACATGGCGTAAGATGTGAAAAAGAACTGCATGGTGAATGGAACGAGGAGCTGACATAAATTGGCTAATAAGATGCACTGCATAGGCAATGTCTGGTCTAGTGACAGCGAGATAAATCAGGCTCCCAACAAACTGTCGATAACGAGTGGCGTCAGGAAGGATCTCTCCATCAGTAGGACGAAGTTTAATGTTGGGCTCCAGCAAATTATCAGCTATCTTACAATCTATGAGACCAGCACAGGTGAGAAGATCAGAAGCATACATGGCTTGGGTCAAAAAGTAGCCATTAGACGTAGGGGACACTAAGCCGAGGAAGTAGCTAAGAGAACCAAGGTCTTTTCATCTCAAAATGCTGACACAAAAACTGCTTAAGCTCATGAATACCAGAATTATCATCAACATAAAGTAGTAGAATAGTGATGCCAATATTAGTGTAACGAGTAAAAATAGCAGAATCATAGGGGCTAAAAGCAAACCTAAGCTGCACAACAGTGGAGCTGAACTTGGCAAACCAAGCATAGGGAGCTTGCTTAAGCCTATATAATGCGCGTCAGAGACAACAGACCTTACCAGGAGGAGATAGAACTCCTCAGCCAAATCACCATATAAGAAGGCATTCTTGACATCCATCTGAAATAAAGGCCATCAACGTACAGAGGTGACAGCCAAAAGAGAATGGACGAAGGTAATACGAGCAATAGGGGAAAATGTCTCCTCGTAGTCAATGTCAAACTCCTGAGTAAAGCCCTTTGCCACTAAACGAGCTTTATGTCTTACTTCAAAATCGTCGGAGTTCGTTTTCCTCTTGTATACCCATTTGTTCCCAACTACAGTCTTTATGGGTTGTGTGAAGAGCGTCAAGTTCTTTAGATATAGTTTGCTGCCAAACAGGGTAAGAACAAGTTTCGCAATAATTGCAAGGCTCGTGAAGAGTCAAAAGTAGAAAAACAATGGTAATCACTAAGATAGGTAGGAGGTGCTCTTACCCTACTAGAATGACGAACATTCAAATCAGAGGACTCGGGAGGGGTGGATGCGATGGCATGATCATCAGACGATCCAGTTTCATAAGAAGTAAGCGTGGAGTGATCACCAGATGAGCTGACATGACCTGCATTAGAGGAAAAATCTAGAGAGGGGTCTATGGCATGGTCAGTGAAAATGGGAGAGTATGAGAGACAATCGGATAAAAGTTGAAAGATACTAGTGGACACTCTGTGTTCCCAAAACTGAACATGTCGAGAGACTCGAAGACGCTTGGCTATGGGGTCATAGCATAGATAACCCTTGTGTTCAATCCCATAACCAAGAAAGCAACAGAGATGAGAACGAGGTACAAGTTTTTTACGTTCATGAGGTGGAAGTAAGACAAAGCAAGCACAACCAAACACTTTGAGAAGAGAATAATCAAGTACCTTTCCATAGAGAACCTCATATGGAGACTTATTGGGGAGAGAGTAGGGGTTGGAACTCGATTAATAGTGTAAACAACAGTAAGGGCGGCTTCTCCCCAGAAGAATTTCTGGAGGGCTGCAGAGAGAAGTTGAGAGCGAACAGTGTCAAGAATGTGATGATGCTTACATTCTACACGACCATTCTATTGGGAGGTGTATGGATAGGATCGATGGAACAAAGTGCCTGCCTCTTGAAGTTCTTCAAGGAAAGAGGCAGAAGTATACTCCATGGCATTATCAGACCGAAAGAATGCAATGGTACGATCAAACTGAGTTTTTCTCATCTACTTAAGATCTTGAAAAGCATTAAGTAACCCAGTGCGATCATCCAAAAGATAAATCCATGTATACTGAGAATAATCATTTACAAAAATAACAAAGTAACAAGACCCGTCCTTAGTAGAGATAGGAGTAGATCCCTAAATATCATAATGAACCAAATCAAAAGGTGCAGAAGATAAAGAATTACTTTCATTAAAAGGTAAAACTTTCTGGTTCCCAAGTTGACAAGACACACAATCAAAATGTTCAAATTTAATATTGCCTAAGTAACCACTAGAAACTAAAGACTGAACACGAGATAAGGATGTATGACCGAGATGAGAATGCCAAACGTTGGAAAACACAGCAATGCTAAGAGATTGAGGAGAACAAGAACTAGGCAAATGCAGTGATGTAAGCTCAAAAATGCGACCAACTCTATGCTCGGTCCCAACTAGCTGGCCCATCTTTGGATCCTGCACATCACACCCTTTGTGAGAAAAGGTTAAGATAAAACCATTTTCAACAAGTTGACCAACAGAAAGGAGATTTAGAGACATCTTAGGCACAACATATGTGTCAGGTACAGAAAGGGTAGGAGTAGAAACGTGACCAAAATGACTAACAGATATATGGGAACCATTAGCAGTATAAATTAAAAGAATGGGATTTAAAGACTTCCTATGGTTAACTAAAGAGGAATCAGAGGTCATATGATTGTAATAGGTAGAATCAAGAAACCAAGATGTAGAGTTACCTATGGAGAGTGGTAAAGCAGTAGAAGTACGGAATAGGACATGGGTGACAATTGCCTCAATGTCAGCTGCAGAAAGTGACGACAAAGAAAGTGCAAAAGAGGAATCAGAAGTTGAGGAGCTGGCAAAGATAGCAGCAATAGGCTTGGAAGAGTAAGATGTATTAGCCTTAAGAGCATCCCTATCATCCTTGGTCTTCTTCTTAGGACCATCAGAAATACGGTGGCCATCTTCATCACAATAGTGGCATCGGCCATTGAAACGTCGCGATTTAGAAGAAGCAATAGTTGTATCTGGAGTGGCCAAAGTAGACAAGCTAGATGGAGTAGTAGCTAAGACCATATCAGTAGAATGAACAAGATGAGTTTGATACTGTGTTTCCTCAAAAATTAGCTCCGTAAGGCAACCTCAATTGTAGGAAGAGGAGATCAATGGAACAAAGACGCTCGAGTATTCTCAAATTCATCATGGATATGCATCATAAAATACATAAACTGACGACGATCACGATATTCAGCGAAAAGCTTAATCGACTTTTCATCAGAAAAAGCGGGGTCAGCTTGAGAAAGCTGATCCCAAATGCTACTAACCTGACATGAAACTCAGTAATAGACTGTCCAAGTTTGTGATGCATCTGGGAACGCTTTGTCTCCAACTGAAACTCTAAAGTAGCATCACTACCACAGTTGTAGCGTTTTGCCAAAAAATTCCAAGCAAGTATGGCATTCCAGAACTTAGGGAGTAGACTCTAAATGGAAGGAGCTAATGTATCAATAAACTAGGAAAGGATCTTACAGTGAGTACTTTTCCATTCATCAAGGGCCTCATCAAACTCCTCTGTGAATTGCTTGTCAGTTTTCGTGGGTTTTTATTTTGTTCCAGTGACAAAATGCCATAATCTCTAACTAATCAGAAAAATTGACATTTGTTGGGACCAAGCAGTGTAGTTGGAGCCATTCAAAACAATCTTTATAGGACGAACAACATCATTTGAAGAAGCCATAATAGAAAAATGATAATGCTAATCGAGTTAGAGGAAAGGACAATGCTGATGGAATGAGCACGAAAAATTGGTCGAAAAAGTGGCTGGAAGGTCGCTGGAGATGACGATGAGCGATGACACATGTGGCGATGTAGGATCAGAATGATTTTTGTACCAAACGAAAGCTCTGGAGCAACATGATCAATTTATAGTATTGGAATACCAAAAGAATTGATGAATGAAGGATAGAAGTAGTGATAGAGCGACGGAATGCGTAAAACCAAAAGAAAAGACACCAACTAGAGGCCAAGAACCAAAGATGGCTCTGATACCATGTTAAAACTAAGAGAATAGAGGAAGAATTGTGAATAACTTCTGTATTCTGTGATGAATAAAACTGTACAAGAGCCCTCATTTTATAGATGAAGGAGGCAAGCACATAATGTAAGTAATTAATGCTAATTACACAAATCATACTCTAATTATACAATTATACAAATCATGGAGATTGACCAAATCATGGAGATTGGTCAATCAATATAATTAGGGAGATATGATAACATCATTATTCCAAAAACACATTTTCCACAAAAATGAGGGTCAAAGAGGGCTAACTTACAAAATAAAAAGTGACACACCTACAAGTGTATGACATGTTCGATTAATGGTGTATATGATCGACATATCACTTCTAAAAAGCATAATGAATGAGGAATGTTGGTATTGAATGGGTGAAAGTCATGTTTTCTCAAGTTAGCGCTAGAAGAAGAATGAGTATTGACATCGAACAGATATGGATCAAATTATGAATAGTGAAGGCGCACTATCTTAAAAATTTTCGAGAGGGTGTCAAATTTATAATGGCTATCTTGTTTTCTTAATTTTTATTTTATATCCAACAGCTTTAATTATGAAAGTGCATTTAGGTCTTTTGTAAGATTTCAATTTTTTCTTTTTGATTTTAATTATTTAAAATTTCGTCATAGATTTATCATTTTTTGGTAATTTTTTAAGTTTTATTTATTTCCATTTACTTTTGTTACATAAGGACATTTACGTCTTCTAAAAGTTTAGGTTTTACTTCACACTCTTTCTAGTGAAAACTCTTATGATAGTTTTATCATTTTCTATATCAATTTTGAACAGAAATATGAGATTTTTCATAGATGTTGTTGAGCCCAAAAATATGCCTCACAATTCTTGGCCCAGTTGAGGAATTGGGCTGTGTTTGCTGAAATGGGTCTTTCTCCATTTTTCATAAAGTGAAAATGTGTTCTCTTAAAGCACAACTTCTGCCTTTCTTGGAGATGTGATCTGGCCATACATTTGGCCATCTCCCCACTGTTGATCTAAAACCATTCAACTTACCTGTTTAAAGATCTCTTGGATGGTTCATTTTGAAGAGAATTTTTGGCAACTGAGTGCTCCAGGGTTTCTGTTCATCTTCTCTCACACCACCTTAACTTCTGAGTGAAATTACCTCTGTAAATCTGAGTGATTTGATAATGTACTTGGTGTATGAACATGTGATACTGCTTGGTGCGAGTTTGGTGGTGCTGTATGATTTGTATGTGACGTGAGATTAAAAAAACTTGGTGTTTCTTCGTACATTTTTAACATTCTTGGTGATTTTTCTAGTGGATCTAGAGCTATATCTACTTAGTAGATGCTCAACGTGGTGAGTAGGCCATAAAGTTGAACATCCGAACCCATGAGGGGAAAAATCCTTCGTGCTCTTTTCTTTTATGTTTCTGCAAATCTTTGCGAAATATTGCTTCGATTAACTACTCTGGGACCAACAAGTGGTATCAG